AAGTAATTACTTGGTTAGACAAACAACCCAAAATTATGTAAATATACCCAACATCAATAGGCAGCGAAGCAGAAATAACAGAGGGACCATCAGTTTTGTGATTGCTATTTACCTTGCTGAAGTATGTTTGAGGTTAACAAAGACATTGAACTACTTGTTTCAACATCAAGATCCTGAAAAAAGGATTGAGTTTAATTAGTATCCAATATATTTATCAGATTCAACCATCCAATATTTGAGGTGATCAGTCTTATTGATGTAGTAATTAATGGATCAAAGCTAACTAATTATTTCTTCCTTTCTGTGAATGTTGCATTTCACAAGTCTCTAAATGAGTAAGCAATGCCGAGCTACAAAGAAAATCTTGGCTTTCAAGTGGTTAACTCTACTAAGTACCATGTAATACCAGTTAGCAAGAGCAGCTCGGTACCCTAAGCTCCCGCTATGCACGGGGTTCGAGGAAGGGCCGGACCACAGTGGTCTATTGTTCGCAGCCTTACCCTGCATTTCTGCAAGAGGCTGTTTCCACCGCTCGAACCCGTGACCTCCGGGTCACATGTAATACCATTTAGTTTTTTGTTTTTTTTACTGAGATTGTTTTCATTTTCTAATGGTCAGCATTGACACGATTTTTACGTACATGTTTTATAGGATGGAAATACGTGCAGACATTCATAGAAATCATGGTTCTTTATAGAAAAAAGGCATAAATTACCCATTAAACTTGTCTTGAAAAGTAATTTAATTAACTCTATGCACTTAAATTGTAAAAAATATTTACAATACTTATGTTACAAATAAATTTCACTCTATCAATGTATATAACACATTCATTTTTCCTATCTCATGATACACTAAAAGTAGCCAGAGGCCACAGCAGAAGACAGACAAAGAAGATAATTCTCTCTTTTTAATCTCTAGCGTCTCAGCATCCACCACCACCGCCACCACAACCACCACCTCCACAGCCACCACCTCCACAGCCACCACCTCCACCGCCACTGCTGCTGCTAATCCCTCCACCGCCGCCACCACCACCACTACTACTGTAAGCACTAGTGATAACAGCAGCTCTTGTTGTGTTCTTGGGTGTATTTCCACCCTTTTCAGCATCACGGTTCACTTGTAAATGAGGAGGAGGAGGAGGCGAAGAACCAGCAGTTACATGGTGGCTTGTTATCTTTCGGAAAACGTTGCAAAGCCAAATCATAATAAAAAATAAGGCTATATTAGAGCCAAAGAGTATGAGTGCAATAGCATATGGTTTCATGTTGTGATAACTTCTCAATTGGTACTCAGCTCAAATCTCTTTGTGATCGTGCTTTTATAGCAACAGATAATTTCTATAGAAGTTTGTTGAAGAAGTTTATAAGATTGTACCAGATATGAGCTTGGAAACAAGTTGAAAATTCTCCACACTAGACATTTGGCACCTTTAACAGTTCTAAAAGTATATAATTATATTTTCTTATTGCACTATATATACATATATAAAATTACACGAGTAAGCCATTTCATTTGCGGTAGACCAAGACTAGTCGTCACAATTGTGATATTGTAGTTGAGTTGGAGAGAAGAAATGTGGCAGTTTCTTTGAATCTTTCTCTTGCTTAATATATTCCATACTTAATTAATTATAGTTTGGTAGTTCGACTCTAATTCGTAGATTAGCATATGGACTTTGGAGTACGATGGTATCTGCTTGTAGTTTGAGTTTTAAAATCTGATCATATTAAAATGTGTTCCAGTCGACGATCGATTTGCTATTACACCAAAAATATTTAAAAGAAGGGCTAAGTAGTGATGCAACATATCATTCATGAAAAATGAAAAGCTATTTACCCGAAAATTGGTATAGTTGAATTTGTTCGTGGTTTCTACACAAATGGATTAATCTGATCCAAAGGAATGATGAATTAAAACTGTTTGGATGCAAAATCCTTAGCTCAAAATGCATATGGAACTATAGATCTGATGAGCCCGAGAACACAGTCTCCGGGCACAATGATGATTATATCAACAAGCTAGAGAGAAAAATAGTATCAAAATGCTATGTTAGAATATATTCTTTGATGTCCAGAAAATCGTGTCCTTATAATGATTCTTGAGCCTATTATTTATAGCTCAGTGAGTGTAATGGTTGGGCCCACCACTAATGACAATTATTGGAGAGTAATAATGGAAATGTAAAGGTAAACATAAATGCCCAAATCTCTATAACGAACCGTTACTCTTTAATGTTGCGGAATATTTTTCATTAAATGCCACCGGGGCATGCTTAATGCCTTTATGAACTTGCCTTTCTCGGTGACATATGGGGTAGCTGTGCCCGATTTTCCGTCCTCCCGGATTTTGGTTCCACGTGTCCCCTTCTTTGATGGCCACGTGTTGTAATATATTTTACCCAATACAGATAGTCCCCCTGCTTTCCAGTGACATAACTTTATGTTACTGGGAAGTTGGTAAAAATACTCTTTTGCCGGGAATTACTATAATCCCTTTTAATTCGTTCAAGATTCATGAAATTAGGTTTACCTGCGGGCTCGGTTGAGGTCCCCGAGGAGGAAGCTTTGGCTGACCCTGCTGATGCGGCGAGGCTGCTTCAAGAGGCACTTATTTGAACTGGTGCCTTCGGGTCCGCTTCAGGCACAAACGTGTCTATACAGAGCCCCCGACTAGAGAGCAAACAACCGAAAAGAAGGCGTTCCTCTGCGGAGGGGGAAAAGATAAAGAGGGCAAAGGTTGATGCTCCCGAATCATCCCTGGTGGCGATAATGAATGGTCCTCCTTCCGGGCCGGTCATCAATATTGTGATGATCGATGATGATGAAGAAGCTAGTGATGAAGGAGTTTCTTTACATAGAAGACAACGATCCTTATCCTCTCAATATGATGCTCAACCTGTTGATGTAGTCACATCTGCCGAGGATGATGTCTCGGCACTTTGGGGAGAGTTTGATTTGGTGGAAAATACCAACTCACGTTCTCGGTCCCCGATTGTTGTGCCCGGTACTGTGAGGAAGAGTACCGGGACTTTTCGTCTTTGGTTTGTGAGCACCCAACATCCAGTGCTTCCTTCGATGCGTCTGTTTCCCGTTCTTCTCCCTTATCAGCTTTATCACCACCTTCTTCGCCACCAGCAACTGCTACCTCATTTCCATCTTTATCCGCGCTTCCACCAATAACATCATTTCCAACAGACGCACCTGACCGTGTTGAAGGAGTTCCTCTTCCACAGTCCCATGTTCATGGGAATTTGGGGCAAAATTATGCTACCCCAGAGGAGGAGAAATGTTACCCTTTCGGTCTCTACCGGGTGCAGCCTTCTTTCCCGGCCGGTGGAGCTTGCAAATTATCTGAAGCCCTTGGCTTCAGAGAAGGATTGGGAAAAGATTCAAACACTCTCGGGAGAGTGTTTGTTGAACAATGCTATGCATAATGCCACATCGGTATGTTTCTTTCTTTCTCTGCTATTTTTTCAGCTTTTGAATAAGTGCATTTTAAGTTTTACCTCTTCTTATCTTGTAGGCCAATTTTCTTACTTTCGAGGGCCTACAAAGGTTAATCCGTGAGAAGGAGGATCTTTCTTCTGAACGGGATCAACTTTTGGTGGAACATGACCAGACTGTTCTTCGCCTCTCAGAACTGGAAACCAGGGCCATTAGGCCGTTATTTTGGAAACCCGTTTGCAGGAAAGTGAGCAGGAAGTGGTAACCCTTAGCCAAGAAGTTGGGCCGCTGAAGGCCAGTTTTGATGAAGTCAAGGCTAAATGGGCTGAGGTCTAGAATGCCATTCTTGCTGCCAATGATCATGAGGCTGCTGCTGAAGGGGTAACTAATTTAGAAGCAACCTTGAATTCTAAGGCCAAAGAGCTTGCTACCACGGCGGCGAGACATGCCCGGTTGGAGGAGAAGTATAAGAAAACTATCGAGCACAACAGGCTGTATAGTTCAACTGTCCATGATCTCGATGTCAGTCTCCGAACTGCTAGGTCCGCCTGGGATGATCTTTCTACCGAGATCACTCAACTCAAAGAAGAACTCAGGCGCCGAGAGACTTTCCTCGTTGTTGAAAAAACTTACGCCACGTACAGCATGGAGAGAAAAACCTTGGAAGAAGCCAAAGTTGGCGTTATTGATTTTGATGCCGAAATTTTTAAGGCACGTGAGCTTGAGTTGGCTGCAAAAAATGGACTCCCAATGCGGTCTGACGTTCCAGGTTCTTCTGATTCTAGTTCCGAGATTTCAGACACTGAAGAGGAATCGGAAGGCGATGATTTCGAAGACCAAGCTGGGGAAGATGTTGAGCCATCGGTTGAACCGTCTACTACTCCCGGGATTATGGATATTTCTCTTCCTCTTGATTCCGGTGATGCTGTAGCTTAGCTTTTTCTTTTCCTGTTTTGTATTTCTTTTGGCGCATTCTTGTGAATGAAGACATATTTTTGCTCAAATGTTTGATTGAGTCTTGATTTTGCTTGAATATCTGTGCATATTTTTGCTCAAATGTTTGATGCACTTCTGTCTCCGAGAATTATCCCTTTTACATGAGGATTTCAATAAGTATTTGCGCAAGTTTGGTTTCTGTGTCTTTTTCATATGCGGCTTCGAGTGTATTTTTCCCCGATAGCCTTTTTGGTTCCGGGCATATATTTTTCCGGAACCAACCCTTTAACGGAAGAGTTTTTATAAGAGAGGGCCCTCTTATATTTACGGTGCTCTTGAGTAGGACCTCTCATGTTCATTACGACACTAACATTTGAAGTACTTGTTTAACTTTCAAATAACAAAATTAGCTCATCGTTCAGACAAGAAACAAGATAAAAGCAAAAGGATTTCCGGTTTTCCAACTCGTATGACCCTTTACCAGTGATAGCTGAAACCCGGTAAGGGTCTTTCCATGTCAGGCCTAACTTGCCTATGTTGAGTTCCCGGGTGTTTTGAGTCACCTTCCTCAAGACTAGGTCTCCCAATTTGAAATAACAGAGGTTAGTTCTTTGATTATAATATTTCTCCATTCTCTGCTTTTGAGCCGCCAATCTGACATGCGCTAATTCCCTGCGTTCCTCGAGCAGTTCCAAGTTGATTAGCATTGCCTCTTTGTCCGATTCTTTGTCTTCCTGGAAGCACCTTAAGGTTGACTCCCCTACTTTCATCGGTATCAAAGCTTCGGCACCGTACACAAGGGAAAAAAGGGTTTCTCCTATGCTCGATTTGGCCGTTGTTCGATAGGCCCATAGTACCCAGGTAATTCTTCGGGCCAATGGCCTTTTTCTGCTTCTAATCTTTTCTTTAGGTTTTGCACAATTGTTTTGTTTGTTGAATTCGCCTTGCCATTTGCGCTCGGATGGTAAGGTAAAGAGGTAATCCTTTTTATCTTCAAATCTTCAAGGAATTTTGTAACTTTTGAGCCAATAAACTGTGGCCCGTTGTCGCATGCGATCTCTTTCGGGATTTCGAACCTGCAAATTATATTTTCCCACAAGAAGTCGACCACTTCACGTTCTCCGATCTTTTGATAGGGACATGCTTCCACCTATTTGGAAAAATAATTAGTCAAAATTAAAAGGAACCTTACCTTTCCTGGAGCCGATGGTAGTGGTCCGACGATGTCCATCCCCCATTTTATGAACGGCCACGGGGACAAAACTGAATACACGGGTTCCTCTGGTTGATGTACTGGTGGTGTGTGGCGTTGGCACTTATCACATTTTCGTACAAAGTTTATGGCATCTTGTTCCATACAGGGCCAGTAATACCCTGCTCGGACTAACTTCAGCTCCGTAGAATTTGTGCCCGAGTGGTTGCCACATATCCCTTCACGGACTTCTCTCATGACATATTTGGCTTCTGATGCTCCTACGCACCGGTCCAACGGGCCTTGAAAGGATTTTCTGTACAATTGGCCTTTCTTGAAGCTATATCGCACAACTTTGGCGCGCAATGCTCTTGAAGCTTTGGGGTCCTCGGGCAACTTTCCATGCTCGAGATAATCAATTATTTCATTTTTCCAGTCCCATACCAGACTAGTCGAATTTACCCTGTAGTAACTTTCTGTGTCCAAGTCTGAGTTTATCAGTTGTATTACCGTACCTGATTCCGGTCCTTGGATTTCTGTTGATGAGCCCACATTTTCTAATACACCCGCTTCAAATTTTCTTCCCTCGGGATGTGGGTTATTGACCACTCTCGGAATTATGACAATAAAGCCTCAACCTTTACTACGTATTGTTGCATACGCTCATCTTTGGTGTCAAAAATTCCGGAGACCTGATTTACCACCAACTGTGAATCACATTTGATTTTGATGGCTTCAGAGTCAAGCCCCAGGGCCAATTCGAGCCCTGCAATCAAATCTTCGTACTCTGCTTCATTGTTAGTTAAAGGGATCGTTCTGATGGCTTGTCTTAAAGTTTCCCCCAAAGACGTGATCAAGACTATTCCGATCCCGGACCCTTTCACGTTTGAAGCTCCATCCGTGAATAAGGTCCAAAATCCTGGTGCCGGTTCTGAGACCATTATTGCCTCTTTGGCAGCCATAGGCAATAGTCCCGGGCTGAAATTGGCCACGAAGTCAGCCAGGACTTGTGATTTAATCGCTGTCCTCGATTTATACTCTATGTCGAACTCGCTCATTTGAACGGCCCATTTGGCCAATCTACCTGAGAGCTCGGGTTTATTGAGTATATTCCTTAAAGAAAATGTAGTTACCACGGCTATCGGGTGGCATTGGAAGTAGGGCCTCAACTTCTGAGCGGCGACGACGAGAGCTAAGGCCAGTTTTTTCAAGATGCGGGTAGCGAGTTTCTGCTCCCGTTAAAATTTTGCTAACGTAATAAGTGGGAAATTGTGTACCTTTATCCTCCCGTACTAAAACTGCGCTTACCGCAACTTCCGAGATCGCCAGGTAGACCAACAATGTTTCTCTTTCTTTTGGCTTCGAGAGCAATAGAGGGCTTGAGAAGTATTTTTTTCAATTCCTTCAAGGCTTGTCGACACTCCTGTGTCCACTCAAAATTATTTTTGTTTTGAGCAACGCGAAGAAGCAATGCCATTTTTCTGATGATTGGGAAATGAACCTGCTCAAAGCTGCCTGTAATGACCCGACTTGTCATTTTAAGAATTTACGCCCGATCAATGACTTCAGGTCTAGAGCAGCTTCGCAATATATATTATGACTCGCGGGTATGGTCGAGTTTGATTTTCGGAAGATTTAGAATTTAATTAAAAGAACAATTCCTATTTAGAAGCTTAAATGGAAAGAGTTGACCGGAAAGTTGACTTTTGAGCAAACGACCCCAGAATGGAATTTCGATGATGGCAATAGCTTCGTATGATGATTTCGGATTTTGACTTATGTTCGGATTTAGATTTGGATGTCCGTAGGACAATTCGACACATTTTGGCGAAAGTTGGAAAATATAAGATTTTGGAAAAAGACTGACCGAAGGGTAAATTTTTGATAACGAGGTCAGATTTCAATTTCGGAAATGGGAATAACTCCATTAAGTCAATTATGTTGCAAAATTTGAAGTCATTTCGGATTGATTTGATACGTTTCAGCGCAAAATATAGAAGTTGGAAGATTTAAAAAACTTATAATTCGATTCGATGCGCGATTCGTAATTTCGGCATTGTTTGACGTGGTTTGGAGCCTCGACTAAGTTCGTATTGTATTTTGGGACATGTTGGTATAATTGGTTGAGGTCCCGGGGGCTTGGGCGAGTGCCCTGTTGATATTTCTTTATTTATGTTCTTGCCTTGGGTGATTTTGTTTCATTTAATATGTAAATTCTTGTCTTCTTCCGTGATGTACTAGTTGACTTCATTATTATGTGTTTTGTGCTTCTAGTTGTATTGTGTTGGCTTTGGATTTTTAGCACGAGACTCTGAAAAAGTATATTTCTAGTTTTCTTACTGATTTTCGATGATTGAGTTGATTTAAATAAAATGAATTATTATTATGTTTTAAATTAAATAGTTTTAAAACCAAACCAGTAGTTTATCTGATACTTAATTTAAGTGCAATGTTATTTTCTTCACCCAAATGATTTTAAAAAATAAATAAATTCAATTCTTTGTTGATTTCTTACTTGATTTAAAAATTCTAAACTCACTTTAGTGAAAATAAATTGATCATGTGCATCTTATATACATTGAGGATATTGACATGTGAATTGTCCGTGCAGTTGTGATATGAAATGAGGGCACGAGGTGCCGGAAAAATATGATGATTTAATTATGGGCACGAAGTACCGTGGAGATATGAAAAATGGGTTGAGACCAGTGTTTATGAAAAATATGAAAATGGGCTGAGACCCGTATTTTTATGATTATGAAATGAGGTGTCACATGGTGACTTTTTAATTGACGAATTATATTCAAAATATTTATTTGGAAGGATTTTTATTTAGAAAGTATTATATGAAAGAATTATATTTGAAAGATATTTATTTGATGAATATTATATTTCAAAGAGAGTTATTTGGTAGATTTATATATGAAGGACACTTATTTGAAGAATTTGATTTAATTGGGTGTACTTGTATTTATTATTTGTTGAGCGATATTAAATGGTGTTTTGTTGTCTTGCTGTGCATATCACTGGTTGTTTTATGATGTCCTTATTGTTATCTATTTTCTCCTATCTTGTATATTATATTGCACAAACTATTAGACTAGTGAGTGTCTTGATTGTACCTCGTCTCTACTCCACCGAGGTTAGACTTGATATTTACTGGGTACCGACCGTGGTGTACTCATACTACACTTCTACACATTTTTGTGCAGAGCCAGGTATTGGAAATATCGAACTTGAGCAGAGTTAAAGAGGGACTGTAAGGATTCAAGGTAGAGCTGCTTGGTCGTCACAGTCCCTTGGAGTCTTTTCATTTCATTGTACTATTAATTTTTAATCAACAATATTGTATATTCGGTCCTCGTGATCATTCCATGTATTCAGTTAGAGTTCGTGACTCAGTACTACCAGTCTTGAGAGGTTGTATATTCATATTTATTCCGCTGTTAGTTTTGGTTACTTATTCAATTCAAAAAAAATGGCTTCAAAATGTAATAGAAATCGGCTTACCTAGTCTTAGAGACTAGGTGCCATCACGACGCCTGTGGTAGGATTTTGGGTCGTGACAAGTTGGTATCAGAGCTCTAGGTTCATAGGTTCTACGAGTCACGAACGAGTTTAGTAGAGTCTTGCGGATCGGTACAGAGATGTATGTACTTATCTTCGAGAGGCTACCAAGCTAGTAGGAAAAAATTACTTCTTTCATTCCTTATCGTGCGGCGTTTATTCAACTTGAAGCATATATCTTATGTTCTTTTGCATCCACTCGTGTATGAAATTACGCACTCGGTATCAACTATGCGCCAACGGTTTGTGATACTACAGAGGGGTTATAAGGGCGCCAGGGTTGTTCAACCATTGTTACAACGTATCATCTAGATCGAGGATGCGGAAGTATTTAGAGATCATTCAGTTGTGCACATGGTGGTGCAGCAGGTTCTGACATCTTATTAATAAGTATGATCTTAAGAAGGTTTAATTAATTTCCTAATCATCACAATTGTGGTAGGGTCACGAGGTGGATGTAGATCTTAAATAGTTGACGGTATTCGAGACTCTGTAGTTCGTATGGAATTTCTATTTAGCGAAGGGTACATACGCAGCCAAGGCACTGGAGGAAGCGAGTTTAACTGTCACGAGGATGACATGCGCCAAATAAATGGCTTGAGGTGTCTTATGACTGGTGTCCTACGAGCGATGAAGGTTAGTATCGTGGATCATCAGAATGTATCCTGTGGCTTCGCGCCAAGTGAGGGGAGTCCACTATCAACGATCAGATTGCAGGGTCATATGCTATATCAGTTGGGACCTGAGGTGTATTTATGTGGTATTGAAAGGTTCTCCGAAACTTGTATATGATTAAGAGGTGAGATTGTATGGGATGATGCTGGGGCTTGCGGTATTTCTGCGTCCTTAAATAATTCTACATGTTAGTACCATCGGGGTCACAAAAATAATTTCAAAATATTCGGAGTACTACAGTAAGTTCTTACAATGCACCACCGGCACGAGATTCCTGTAGTGGTTATTCCAGTTATCTGGCACATACTCAGTGTGAGCAGCTGAACCCGCAGAGGGGTTGTTACGAGTGTGGTGACACTAGGCACATTATGAGAGATTGTCCCAGACTTGGGAGGGGTGGATTTCATCAGAGCACTCCAGCTACAAGCTTTATTCCAGTTAATACTCCACATGCACCGTCAGCTAGAGGTGAAGGACATGAGGGTAGTGGGCGCCTAAGAGGTGGAGACCCAACCCGTTGTTATAATTGTTATGATTTAGCTGAGGCCGATACACCCGATGGTGTCGTTACAGGTACGATCCCGATTTGTTATAAAAGGATAATTCTCCTTAATTTGATTCAGTTCTGGATATTGAGGTAAGTCCTCTTATTATGCTCCGTTTATGGGTGAGCATCGTAATTTTGTGAACCACTTATATGTTTATCCCTGTTGGGAGGTTTGATGATGTTAGCCCGTGTCTATCATTTTATATTTGGGCACCATTGAGGACTATAAGTCCAAAAGTAATTTTTTTACTCATTACAGTGAGTTTAGTGTGTTTTGGAATAATTGATTCTAATTTTTATGAATTATACTCCCTACCGGTATGAGGGTTCATTATATGTTGTGAAATTTATTTATGAAATATATTGAAAAGAAGAAAGAAAGGAAATTGAAATTTTAGTTGACACAATTTGTAAAATACTTGTGATTCGGAGTTGAGGACGAGATCCTCGTATTTTTATATGATGTGAAATATTTAAATCGGGCTACAAGCCGCGGTGGAAGTTATATAAGGATGAGGTCCTTGTGGTGAAAATTTTATGAGTTTAAATTCTCCCTTTGTGAAGTTAAATTTGTACTATGGTACTAATAGGGAGTTATGCCTGATAGGCTTATGTGATAATTCTTTTATGTGTTTCTGTGCCATAATTGTGCTGTAATTATTGAGTTTTAGCCTATAAGGTGAGTGCCCAGGTGGCGTTAAATATGACTCATTAATCCGAGTAAGTAATTATGACGTCTTCATGCCTCACATTCTGTTGTCAGTGTCGTGAAAATTCGAAATGAGGTGGTGGTTAATATGAGATTTATTGATGATGCTGGAATTAATTATGAACAACTTTTAAGACCATAGATGTGGTGATGAGCATACTTATGATGTGTTTCATGTCCTGATATCATTATGATAATGCAATGCTTGTAATGCTGAGATTGGTGTTATTGATATATACCTTGTGGTATTTTGTTGGGTTGTGGATGTGTTGTTAGGAGTTAGTTTGGTGTTACTCTGGCAGGTGGATAGGCCCATTTACAAGGGAGAATCTGCCGAAATTTCTGAAAAATTTGGGAGTTAGTAAAAATTTGGGGGATTGAGACGTGCAAAAGAAGAGATAAATTATGTTATATGTTTGAAGGCGAATGATCCTAAGCGGGGAAGAATGTAACATGCCAGAAAAAATTTGAACTACTTCAACACTATCAAGAAAGTTGATGTGTGCGTAGGCACGAGTTGCTATATCCAGTTGAGACTAATACCGTGTGTGGTTGTAAAAATTAGGCCTTTTAAAAATGTTTGGAGTGTAAGAAATTGGTCTTAAAGTTTACAAATATGGTTAAAAGAAATAATCTCAAATGACATGGTGTTGTCGGGCTTATCTCAAATGCGATAACGTGGGATCAACCGTGAGTATATGGGTAAAAGTAAAATCATCAATGTGGTAACCTCAGAATAATTCTTAGCACGTTCGAGGACGAACGCTTGTTTAAGAGGTGGAGAATGTAACGACCCGACTTGTCGTTTTAAGAATTTACGCCCGATCAGTGACTTAAGATTTCGAACAGCTTCACAATATGTATTATGACTCGCGGGTGTGGTCGAGTTTGATTTTCGGAAGATTTGGAATTTAATTAAAAGAACAATTCCTATTTAGAAGCTTAAATGGAAAAAGTTGACCGGAGAGTTGACTTTTGA